CTAATTTTCAGAGCTTTTGTGGATTTGAAAAGCTAAACAAGAATAGGCCAAATTAGAATATTATATAATTCATTGTTTTTTTAACTGAGATTTTACTGTTTTTCTTGAACAACTCCTTAGATTTCTGCAGCCCTTCAGTTAATTTTCAGAGTTCTGAAATAGTTAATTCTGACAACTTTTCCAATGTTCATATTAATTGCACATAGGAAATAATTTCAGTGGTTCTTACTATGCTTTCTAGATACATGGTTTTTGACACTTGGATAGCCTATGATATAGTGTCTAAGGTCTGTAATTCTTCCTAGAGACCCCTTAAGGCATCTTTCCTAATGTTATCCAACTAGACTTACAGGTTTGAAAAACTTGGTATATTTTTAAGGGCCTAAGGGTATTTCCTTTGACCCCTGTATTAGTAACCTGTCTCAGTGCCTCAACAAAAATACCTGACAAAAGTGACAGAAGGAAAGAAGGACAGAAGGAAAGACGGGTATATTTTGGCTTACAGTTCCAGGGAATACAGTTCATCATGGTAGGAAAGGCATGGCAGCAGCAATGGGAGGCAGCTGGTCACATTGTGTCCATAGTCAAGAAGCAGAGAGTGATCAATGCCTGTACTAAGCTCCTTTTTTCCTTTTATTTGGCCTGGGATCTAAGCTTAATGGGGTGAGTCTTCCTACTTCAATTAACTAGTGTAATCCATATAATCCATCACAGATGTGCCCAGAGATTGTTTTCATAGTGATTCTAAATTCCATCAAGCTGACAATCAAGTTTAATCATCACAACCACTCTTTGGAGAAGATTCATCTTATATGCCTTGGTGGATCAAGTTGGTGGGGGCTTGGTCCATTTGTGTAAGACTCCTTGGGAATCTTGCATATAGGATATCTCTCTGATCTCCAGTGTTGGCCTGTATTCTTTTTCTCTTGCTGCATCATATCTTTGCCTTTAAATAAAAGCCTATGTGAATATACTCGGGTGAATTCTTTCAAATAACCCAACTGGAAAATCTTTGTAATGGTATACGCAATATAATACTATGCAGCTGTAGAAAAGGTTGTAGAACATATCTGTAGACTGGCAGGAAAAGATAGCCAGGATATACTGTTAAATGAAAGTGCAGTTGCAGAACTCCAGTGATAGTATACTGCTTCATAAGAAATGGAGAGAAATACACCTGTTTAAAATTGTACTTGGCTTGATTGCCCTAAAGAAATCTTGAATGGATGCGTAACAGTACTTTTAAGGTTATGGAGATGGCTCAATAAGTAAAGCACTTGCCTTTAAAGTGTGAGAACCTGAGTTCATATCCCCAGAAACCATATAAGAAGCCAGGTGCCATGTTTATAATCCAAGCAATGGCAAAATGAGAGACGGGGACAGGAGGATCACTGGAGATTGCCAGCTCATTGGAGTTCCAGGCTAACAAGAGACCCTGTCTCAAACAAAAGATGAAACATATCTGAGAAAGAACACCCAAGCTTATACCCTGACTTCCATATACATGTGCACTCACATGAACATGCACAAACACATGTATAGATACACACACAAGTACTTTTTAAAAGTTGTTAACTATGAAAGCAGAAACAAGAGACCACAATTATTACATTTCATATTATTTTTTCATTTTAAGCTATGAATATATTGCCCACTAAAAATTGGAAATTTGGGACTGGAGAGATGGCTCAGTGGTTAAGAGCACCTACTGCTCTTCCAGAAGACCTGAGTTTGGTTCCCAGTTCCCACAACCACCTGTAACTACAGCTCCAGGGGATCTGACAGTATGTGCATACACACACACACATACACACACACACACAAACACACACATGCACACACACACACACTTAAAAATACAAATTTTTAAAATTAAATAGAATTTAATTAAATGGAATTTTCAAGATAAAAAATGGAAAAGAAAACATATATGACTCACAAGAGGTATAATAAAATATTAATGAGGTCCATACTAAGTATTGAGAAAAAAGAATGAAAAAATAATAGACTTGTCAAAATATACCAAAATGCAAATGACACAAAGCTGAATCTATGCTTAGGAAACATATAAAGTACTCAAACTATTATTTTAGCTAAGGATTTTTGACCAGTGGCATTAATGGCATTTTGGATAGGTGTTGTATAACTATTCCTGTGGAGACATAACAAATGTCTACTCACCCCCAAATAGAGAACCAATCACAGATTAAAGCAAGGATATCACCAAAGTCCAACTTGATGAATCAATCAGTTTATTGGGGTTACTTATGGAGTATGGGTGATGAGCAAAAATGACCCAAAGACAGCTGCATCACCAAAGGCCACCCCAGCATGGGTGACAGCTCACAAAATCTGGACCTCTGGAGCTCACTGAATGACTTATAGGCAGCTCAACAGGTTGAAGAGTGACTCTCATGGGCAATTCAGTTGATCCAGGCCTCTTCCAGGCAGCCTGGCTTGTCTGAAAATCCTGCAGGATGGAATGTTTTGCCCTCAGAACATCGTTCTTCTTAAAGGAACTTCCCTCCGAGGTGGAAGGTTTTATCCCGAGGAAATGTTACTCAACAGCAGGTTACTTCACTGCTATTTAGTGCATTTTTTGATATCTACGATTCCTGGGCTCTATCAGCCAGTGGCACTACCTCCTGCTCATTCTGATAACCAAACCAACGTCTCTAGATGTTGCTAAATGGGGAGGAAGGAACAAAGTCACCCTCATTTGAGAACTACTGCTTTAATGGATCTGAGTAGTTAGATTTTTCTGAGTGGCTTATTAATTTTTAAAATTCAAGTAAATATTGTCTTGGCAACTAATCTATATTCTAGAACTTTTATTGACATGTCAAATAATTTATATATATTTTTCCATGTTTTAATCTTTATCATAATCCTAACTCAGCTAGGGCACTGTTTTACTTCTTTTGAGTAACATTACTGATCTATCAAAAATATTTCCCCCTTTAAATTTTATTTACTTATTTATTTATTTACTTATTTATGTGTGTATGTGTGTGGGTGCCCATGGACCACAACATCAGTATGCAAGTCAGAGGACAACTTGTGGGAGTTGAACTCAGTTTGTCAGATTTGCTGGCAAATGCCTTTACCCACTAAGCCATCTCTTGGCCTTAATTTCTCTTTTTAAATAAGTCGTTTAAATCACGGAATTATTTAGTGTAGTTTTGTTACTTTGAAACTCTGTATTTTGGAAGGTAATCTATTTCCATAAAGATATTAGAGAAATGAGATCACCAGCTTATCTGCAAATACATTTTTCAGTCGTTTCCTACACTGTTGGGAGGAGAAACACCTCCACTGTTTGAACTATCACCTTTACTCCTTTGTTTGTACCTTTCCTTGGGAGCCTGGACTCTCAACAAACTTTCCAAGGGCTGGGGATGTAGCTCAGTGTGGCAGGACTCTTTTTTAAGAAAACAAAAACAAAAAACAAAAAACAAAAAAAAAAACATACCCAAAGCTTTCAATTGAAGCCCCTAGCTCCTGTACTCAGGGCAAGGCCATTAATTAATTAATTAGCTCCATCATAATTTCCATCTGATGACTTAAACCCAGAGGACCAACTAACAGTAGCTCACAATCCTTGCAGCACAGCTGTGACAGGTAAACAACGGGGGCTTTCGCCTCATAATTAGTTCAAACACAATTTTTCCGTTTCTGAAGGATCAAGACCAACCAAAAACCAGGAGACTGGTCCAAAGCTCACAGGATGGGCCTGAGCTTAATATAGAGTCGGCTCCCAACTCCTGCTTTTTTCTACAGGTAATTTTAGTGGTGTTAATGTGATTGATTTCGGTTGGAGGAGAGAGGACACTCACATTTCCCAGGAGGTTCACCGTGGGTTTCATCATTGAAAGAGTTAAAGGCAAAGCAGAAGGGTAACCCCCTTTCAACTATCAGGCAAAGGTTTTCTTCCGCTCTCGGGGGAAAGCGGGAAAGCGTGTGTAAATCCCGGATGCTCTGAAAGGAATCTTCAACCTTCAGCGGGATCAATGCGTCAGCTTTCAAGTGAGTGCGTGCAGGCCTGGACCCCCGCGCACAGGCGGAGACCCCGCCCAGGCACACAGAGTAAATAGCAAACAGATGGTTGGCATGAGAAAGAACTCACTAGTCAGGGGACCGCCAGGGAAAACAGTTCCAGGCGGATGGTTTCCGAGAGGACCAACTGCTTTATCTTCGCTTGAAATGGTCATATTTTGTAAGCAGGAGTCCTTCCTGTGCAGGGATGCAGAGAGCCAAATCCCTCTCCCGGAAGGGGAATTCTTTGCCCAGAAAATTGCGGACCTAAGTGGGGACTCCTGGTCCACACCGTCCCTCCTTCACATCCCTAACATGCCGACTCTGGGCTCCCTAGATTTTTTACCCCTGCCTCCAAAATTTCCAAGCTCGCACTTGCTGTAGGCGCCGCGTGCATGCCGGGTTTAATCTGGAGACTCCAGGACCTTAGTTTGGGTTCAGATATTTGTTACGACGGCTTGATCGTCTCTTGCAGAGTCATTTCAGAGAGTGTCCCCAAAAGTCGTTCTTAACTCCTCCCCGCACAGGAAGCCTGGGCGGTGAGTTACTCATCACTAGGTGAAGGAGGGTACTCAGTACCTGACTTTTTCTGACAACACCTAAACAGGGCAGCACACACTCCAGTCAGTCACACTAATCCCAACAACCCCGCAGGACCTGTCCAGGTTGGGGTTTGATAGGAAGCTGCCTCTGGTACTGACCAAAGGGGAGCACGCCCTGGCATGCGGGGTCCGCCCTTCCTCCCAGTCTCTGGTGGGGCGGGGGTAGGTCTAGGCTGGATCTGGATCTGGTTAGGAGGGGAAAGCCTGGTCCCAGTCTTTCCAGGCCCCTGGAGGAGGAAAGACTGTACATAAGAGGTGGGACCGAGAGGGGTGTGTCTCATCCCCGCGCATCCTGCCCTCCGGGGTTTGACCCACTGCCGCTGTCTCTAGTCTCTCAAGTCGCGCCCGCCCCAGACTCCTGCCATGAGACCCCCTTCCAGCTCCGGCATCTATGTGAGCCGTGGAGTGGCCCTGCTGCTGGCCGGGCTGCTCATCGCGCTCCTGCTGGTGCTGGTTGTGCTAGCTGCACTGTACGGCAAGAGCGCGCGCGTGCAGCCATCCCAGCAGGACACTGTCCGGGTCCAGGAAGCCTCGTCGCTACCCCCTGGCGGGTGGGACCAGGTACCACCGACCCAGAGACCAGGCGCTGGACGTGAGCCGTCGGTGGCCACCACCCCGCAAGACTGGCGACCCCCGGAGCCCTGGGACCAGCTGCGCCTGCCGCCGTGGCTTGTGCCCCTTCACTATGATCTGCAGTTGTGGCCCCGGCTACGGCCCGATGATCTGCCCACGCCGAGCTTGACCTTCACCGGTCAGGTGAACATCACCATACGCTGCACAGTGGCCACCTCGCGATTGCTGCTGCATAGTCTCTTTCTGGATTATGAGCGCGTGGAAGTGCGGGGTCCCCTGGACCGGGAGACTAGGAACGCCACCCTGGGCAGCATGCGGGTGGATGATGTTTGGTTCCCGCTCCACACGCAATATATGGTACTGGAGCTCGGCCAGGCGCTGCAGCCGGGTAGTCGTTATGAGCTGTACCTCAGCTTCTCTGGCAAGGTGCTGCAGGAAGTCACAGAGGGGCTCTTCCTGAATGTCTACACCGACCAGGGCGAGCGCAGGTAAGAGCTGCAGCCCCGCATCCCCGCCCCAGCAAGATCCAAGAGTGCGCCTTCTGTTTAGAGAAAGATGTTTTCTCCTCTTCCAGAGCTAAAGGTGAAGCCTTCCTTATCCAATCCCCCCCCCCCCCCAACACACACACACAACTTCACTAAGAATAAAGACGCTTTGAGACCCAGGTCCCTCCTCTGGCTGCTTTTCAGCCCCACTCCAGCTATCTAATTTGTCCCATCCTTTGAGGTCGCGTCCCACTCATTTTCTTTAGAAACTTCTTTACCCAGAATTTTTTTCACCCTCTGAATCAGTCCCTTGCTACTCAAAGATTAGTTTTGGCCAACGGCGGCTTATTACAGCTTGTTAGAAATTCAAACTCTCGGACACTCCACCCCGCCCCCTTACCAAAGGGTTCAGAATCTGTGGGTTCTTCTGGCGTTAAAGCTGGAGAAGCAAGGAGGAAAGCATGCTTCCGGATTCTGTGGTTCTCTGCTCGCTAACTGCGCTCTGCTGTGTGTGTGTCGTCCCCCCACCCCGCCCCCCGGCCCAGGTAACTGCAGCTCCTGCAAAAAAATAAAAATAAAAAAGTAAAAAAAAATACCCCACATCAGGGATGCTTGTTCCCTTTGGTTTTTACTAAGGTTCTGCAAAAACTCAGAATCGTCCTTCATTTATCCCTGCCCCTGATTGCTTTGGGGGCCCACATCCCCTTTCTGTGGCCAGCGGTGGCATCCCCTGCGTTCTCCAGAGCTTTTGAGCCCGCTGCCCTTCTGGGATTCCTCTCCTGGAATTTGTGGCCGTGTGTTCCTAAACATTCGTTTGAGATAATGTCTCCCACCGGGAGTATTTCTAGCCCCTGCCCAAGAATCATCTCTTTCTATGGTCTGAGGCCCGACTACTGAAATCTTGCCAACACCCAGAAAATGGAAGATAACATATTTTCTTCCTTCCTTCCTTCCTTCCTTCCTTCCTTCCTTCCTTCCTTCCTTCCTTCCTTCCTTCCTCCCCCCCCTCTCAAAAAGCAGTGATCTTTTTGTTCATTCACACACTGGAGGAACATTTGCAATTTACACAACTGCATGCACTTTACTCCTTATTATTAGAGAAAATATTTGCAGATGCTGGGGGCAGGGGCACGGGATGGGGACAGGGCAGGAGACCACACCAAAGTACCCCCTAAAGCACCTTTTACACATTTTCTCCAAAGTTTCAATGGTTTTAAATAAGTTTAATGAGCTCCCTCAGAGGATATACAACCTGTAACTTTTAAAGGACAATATGATTGGTTTTCTTACAATGCATTAATTCTTGAAAATAACTTAAATTTGTCTCATAAGAATGACGTGTTACCTAACTTACAGGCACTGAGAACAATTTAAAATAAGCGTGTGCCTCAGTCCTGCAGAGGAAAGAACTGAAGCTATGCAGGCATCCGGCAGGCCTTTCTACTGTCTTGGCTTGTTTGACCATCCGTTCCTCATTTCTTAGTGGATCTATGACCCAGACAAGCTAACATGGGAGAGGAAAGTCCCTTTCCATTTTCCTACTATGTTAGTCAAATGGAAACCACATTTTCAGAAGATTGAAACTCAGACAGGGTTCTAGAATTGTGGTTTCTGAAGAACTGTTACCAGGAAGTTGATGATCCCTTGGGTCTCTCTGCCTCTGGAACCATAACATAGTTAGGCCTGAAATCAGAGCCACAAAGGACCTTAACAGAATGATGGCTTGAGGCAAGGTGAATTGTGGGAGCTCACCAGGCCCTAGTGTGAAAATGAGCTGTGTCAACTGAGCCCTTCACCTCCCTGAGTCTTTTTCTTAACTAGCAGAAAAGACATATTCACAACCAGCTTTGAGAGCATTATGACAATGCCACAAGAAAGGAGGTACATAGTGACAGGCACACAGCATGGGCAGTGCTACCTGTTATTGTTATCCAAACATGGAAACTGCCAACTTCCTGGTGTTTATGAGTCTAAGAGGGTTCCTAGCTGGGAAGGAGCAAGAAGCTACAGGACTGGGAGTTATCAGTTAACAGATGTAGAGTTTTAGTTTTGTGAGATGAAGAGTTCTGGACATTATTTGTACAAGGCATGGTTGTAATACTACTGGAATATACACTTTAAAATAGTTAAGACAATGATTATTTTTTATTCTTTGATAGTTTCATATGTGTATAATGAATTTTAGTCCTTTTCATCCTATTACCCTGTCTCATTCTCCTTCCTCCAGCCACTATTAACTGTCAGTCACCCCTTAGGGAGAGTGGGACCTCATGAGCCCTTCCTCCCTTCTAGAATGAAATGTTGATGGACTTAGTCTTGTGCAGGTCTTGTGCAGGCAAGCACAGATACAGTGAGTTCATGAGTGCATCAGCTATGTTATGTCCAGAAGACGCTGTTTCACAGCACTCCCCCCAAATCACTGACTCTTACATTCTTTCTACCTCCCGGTATCAGGGGTGTGTGTGTGTGTGTGTGTGTGTGTGTGTGTGTGTGTGTGTGTGTGTGTGGTATAGATGACCTGTTTAGGACTGAGCACAATACATTCTAGTATAGTCTGGTGCAATAGTGGCATGACTGTTATGGAATAACCAACCACTTTTTGGTCAAATTTAGGGCTTGATCCACAGGAAGGAACTCTTGCCTGGTACTGTGAACCTGGCCAAGAACCTATGGCTGGGGAGGTTGTAGGCCCTAGGAAAGAACCTACTAGAATTGTTTTGCTAAGTACACATGGTATTAAACTGCCTTCTAAATATTTGTCTCCATATCCATAGATTAGTACAGCTCTCAGTCTTCATCAGAGAAGTTCCTTTTTGCTGTGAACAGAGGTTAATACAGAGATTCACAACTGGTCACAGTGAAGAGAATGAGTCAATGTATTATGCTCAGTCCTAAACAGGTCATCTATAGCTCACACACACACACACACACACACACTGTTTTTGAGATTCCTCCTAGTTGTGTATATCAGTAATTCAAACCTTTGTAAGTATTGATTGATATTCCATTATGGGATATACTGCAATTTTAGTCATTTGCCCATGGATGGATATTTTGGTTGTTACTATTTTCTGCCTACTACAAATAAAGTTTCCATGAATAATTGTGTACAGGATTTTATGTGAATATACATTTCTATTTCTCTGGGATAGTTGTCCATAGTATAACTACTGGGTTATATGGTAGTGACATATTTCAGTTTTAATAAATTGCCAAATTGTTTTCCCAAGTGGCTATGCCATTTTGCACCCTCACCAGCAGAATGTGTTGGTGTGTACAGTGACATTTCATTGTAATTTTCATTTCTCCAATGGCTAATGGCATTAAACATCTTCCTGTGTGTTCATTCTGGATCTACATAGCATGTTCACTGCGATGTCTCCTTCTATCTTTGCCCATTTTCTATTTGAGTTAGTTTCACTACAGAATTCTGGCAGTTCCTTATGTATGCTAGATCTGAATTCTTTGTGATATATTTGGATCATGTTTTGGGAAACGTTTCTTAACACTACACTAACTTCTACTTTCTGAAGATTTTCTGACGGTTTTATTTTTTATTTAAAATTTTAAAAAATTGTTTATTTTTATTTTATGTGTATGAGTATTATGCCTGCATGCATGTAAGTGCACCCATGTCATGCAGTACCCACAGAGGATAGAAGAGAGCATCAAATTCCCTGGAACAGAAATTACAGATGGTTTTTAGCTGCTATGTGGGTACTGAGATTCAAACCCCAGTCTTCTGAAGCAAGAATGACCAAGGCTTTTAACCTCTGAGCCATCTCTTCAGTCCCTGACAATTTTATTTTTTATGTTTTACATTTAAATCCATAATCCATTTTGCATTAATTTTAATATAAATTAAGATGTTTAGGTCAAGGTTCATTTTTTTCCTTGGATATCCAGTTGCTGTAGCACCATCTGTGGGAAAGACTACTATTCCCCCTTGAATTGTTTTTGTATCTTTGTCAAAAATCCACCGGCTATAATGTGTGGGATTGTTACTGGGTTATTTGCCCCATTGATCTATGTGTCTGTGTTCCTTCCTGTACTGCATAGTCGTGATTAATGGATTACTATAGTTGTCTAAGTCTTGGTGTTGTCTTTTTCCATGTATTTTTTAGATATTTTAGTTCTTGTGATGTTCCATAGTATTTTACAGTATTCTATCTATCTATTTCTGTTAAATCTTGTTGGGACATTTTTTTTGAGACAGGGTCTCATGCCTAGGCTGGTCTCAAACTCTCTTTGTAGCCAAAGATGATCTTGAGCTTCAATTCTCTGGTCTCTACCTACCAAGTGTTGGAGTTACAGGCATGTGCTGTTATGTCAGGTTTTCATGCAGTACATGGGACTGCACCCAGTGCTTCGTGCATGCTACACAAGCACTCAACCAATTGAGCTAAGTCCTTAGTCCCTTATTAATGTCTTGATATGAGTTATGTTAAATATTTCAACAAATTTGGAGTGAATGGACACCTTTATTATGTTGAAGCTTCCAATCCATGAACACAAAATTCCCAGTTACTCAGATCTTTATTTATTTTGTTAGAATTTTATTATTTTTAGCCGGTCTACAATGAGTGTGCACAGTACAAACACTCCTTCTCCTTTGCTTCATAGGTATTCCATTTGTTTTCCTGTCTTATTGTGTTGGATAACACTCCTAGCACTATGTTAATCAAGAGTGTTAAGAATGAACATTCTTGAAATCTTAGCCTTGTACAATACAGTCAACGGACTTTCTACAAAGATGCAAGAGGAATTTGGTATGTGGAAGGTGATCTTTTCAACATATGGTGCTACAACAACTGGATATCCATAGACAAAAAAAAAAAAGTGAACCTTGACTTAAAACATCCTAATCTATAAAAATTAACTCAAAGTGGGTAATGGATTTAAGTGTAGCATACAAATCCTTTATGAGTTATGTTAGATTCAGACACAAATATTTAACTCTATTAGCACAATTATTAATTTATTTTGCATTTAAAATTTTTGTT